ATACAATATATCGTAAAATTGCTAGCAGAAATATTTCTAGTTCTTTCCTGGTTTTTTGTTTTATTTCCAATTCTTAATAGTCCTTTTGAATAAAATTCATGAATTAAAATAATATATATAAATAACGCAAAATAGCTTTACTTTAAATTATATTCCAATCATTTCCAAAATTTAAAACCCGATCAACCCGATCACATTTTTATTAGAATACTCTAGAAATATGCTGTTTACATTTTTAATCAAATTTACAAGGAGAAATTTAAATTGCGGCTGTATGGTCTTAGAAATTAACATCCTACTTTATTTATCACGATGGATAGAATTAAGTTAATTCAAAACGATACTTTTCGGTTTTGGAAGGTAATGCAAAAATCTCAACATTGATCCATAATTAATTTTACTAGAAGCTGGACTGATGATTATCCCGTGTCGAAAAGGTATGATGTTTACCATTTGCGTCTGAATTCGAGAAAATATTTCCTAAATGTCATAGGTCATTTCCATCTTTTTATTAATTGCCTAATTGAATTAAATCGATACCTCTATATAGAATATTGTAAGTAGAAAAATTTGGATATCTTACAGATGAACTCACTGATGAATATACACGACCAAGCGATGAACTCACATATCCAACAGTTGAGCACACAAATTCATAAACAATGTTTTGTCAACGAATGATCGCATAAAGGCCTTGGAATTTGTAATTTTAACAAGAATACTTGTATAAAATCTGTGATATAACAAAAAAAAAGCATAGTAGAGAAATTTTGGCTGAAGAAATTCTTAAAATTTTTAATTTAGTTGGAATAAAGAATTTGTGGAAATGTTAAAGTAGCGACTTTCTACGTTTGTAGAAAGTAGTAAAAAAAAAAAAAAAAAAATACTAACAACACTTCTTATTGCTTTAGTACTAAAATAAAGAAAGAATTTTTACTTCACGTTTCGAAACATATTTTCTCGTATTTTTTTTTTTGTTTGGGTTGTGATTAAGTTTGTTCCGGTTGAAGGATCCAGCGAATCTCACTGTCAATTATAAAATCCATATCTGATTAAACACAAAATAAAAACTATTCTATTTAGGGAATGAAATCGATTCAAAAAAAAATATCAAATTTAAAAATACTGCCTGTATAAAAAAAAAAAATTTGCATATCGTCTGAAATTGGTATTGAAGTATTCAGTTCTTTCGTTTATGTATTTATAAACAATTTGTAAATGTAAGCAGATGGTTTTATTGAGTAATCGTTGAATAAAAATGAAGTAATTATTACAAGAATTTATTTAATATGTCAAATTTAGTCAGTGTTGCCTCAACGTCGGCGCTCTACACTTCGCTTTTTCAATATATTAAACTAAATAAATGCCAATTTCTAAGTCCTAATTAATTAAAACTACGCAATTACGAAACTGTTACATAAAAATTGTATAATAAACTACTAATAAAAATCGGAAATTAAAAATAAAAACAATAAACTGTTACAAAATGCGAAATTAAGGGGCGAAAATCGAAATTATCGCGAAGGTGTAAAGGAAATATAGCGAAGGGAATGATTGTCAAAGGAATATATTAAAGGCGGACGTGGATATTGAGCTGTTTTAGGATTTCCGGCTTTGACAAACTGGCACCGTGACAAACTGGCAAAAAAATTTGCATTTTATGATTTTATGATAAAAAGCAGATAATTTTATACATTAAAGGTTTATTGGTGTAGCAATTTTAGCATTTTTTTTTTTTTTTTTTTTTTTTTTGTAATTTAATCTTTTTTCTTTTGCTACCTTTGTGATTGATCGTTTCGGAGTACTCTTGCATGTGTATTTTTAGTTCGTTGTTATTTTTTTGGGAAGTGCTCAAACGCTTCGTGCGTCGATCAATTATTTTTGCTTTTTATGAATTTTTTTGATTTTAACATAAAATGTTTTATATATCTTTTTATTTTACAGCTTTCTTCACTTTTTTTTGTAATTTTTTTTTTTCTTTCCTCTTGATCATTCCTTTATCACTTTTCTTAAGAAATAATATAATTGTACTTCTTGTCGGTGAAAGCGATTAAGGTCCTTTATTAAGGCGGGATTTTTTGAGAGAATGGACCGTTGAAAAGCAGACATCATATATTCGGATTCTTATTATGTACGTTTTATATATGCTTGTGGACGTGCAAACACTAAGAAAAAAAGATTACTCAAAATATAAGATGCGATTGGAACTTGGGGTAATGAACAGATGATGAAATGTTATGAGAATTTGAATTTGTTCTGCTGGTGGTGGTACAATAAAAATAGTTGTACTTTTTACATGTATTTTGATGATTTTGAGCAATGGAAAGAAGTAAAGCGTTGGGTGAAGGAGAAATATCCCCAAGCCTTTGAATTCAAAAAAAGGCATGTATTATTTTCGCAGACTTGGGTTTTAATTTTTAAACTCTTGCACGAGTATCAAAATGATTATACATACTGTGAGACAATTGTACTTTAAAATGTTATTTATTACCGGTTAATTTATAGATATTTCCTCAAAATAATTTTGAGCCAGATGCCTTTCCAAAAAGGATATCATTTCGAAAAAAAATAAAAATTTATATCAGCATCCGTTATTACTTCTATCTTTACGTTTTTAAAATTATTATACTTTAAGTTGCCCAAACACATATAAACAATTATATTAGTTTTTATTTCTAACCGTTTGTAAAGGTTTAGTAGAGTTATACGCTTTTGATTCTCTCTGAATCAGATTTTGGATCTCATGCAATATTTTTTATGCATTGCAAGATAAAAAATATTAATAAAGCGTCCGCATCGACGATTTTTTGAAAACGGAACGTCGGCTTTTACAATTTATTATTAATTCACTCAAATATTTGACATATTATGAGTTTTTAACTGTAATTATCTATAGAATTGAAAGCATGCTTATTTGAATTTTAATAAATATTTGCTACATTTGAAATACATTTAAAAATTAAAAGTACTGTTTATACAACTATAATTTAGAATTACTTAATTGATTTTCATATTCAATTATATTAGTTAAAGTTCCTATTTGATCAATTTCTACTTCAATTTTATCATTATGTTGAAGGTAAATTGGAGGTTTTCTAGTAAATCCAACGCCTTTATAATAAGAAAATGTAGAAATTAATTGACTTAATTATGTCTTTAACCTTAATTAAAAATAATATATATATATATATACCTTGAGGAGTTCCTGTTAAAATCAAAGAACCAGCTTGCAATGTCGTACCCTGACTTAAGAAACTAATTAATTCGGCCACATTAAAGATCATATCAGATGTATTTGAATTTTGTAATAATTGGTTATCATTAAGTCTCGTACTTATTCTTAATGAATTTGGATTTTTTATAATTGATGGAGAAACTAATTGTGGTCCAATTGGACAAAATGTATCAAATCCCTATTAAATGAATACAATGATTTGTAAATATTTAAATTAAATTTTTTTTTTTTTTTAAAAAAAAAAGAAAAAGATTTAATTACTTTTGAAAAACACCATTGACCAGATCCAAGATTTTTTCCTAGAATAAAAAGAAAAATTAAATATTTTAACTTTTAAAAAATGTAAACCCTTCCAAAAATATTTTAACAATACCTTGCCATTTTCTAGCGGAAACATCATTACCTACAGTATACCCCAAGACATATTGTAAAGCATCATCTCTATCAACATTCTTACAGTTTTTACCAATTATTACAGCTAATTCGGCTTCAAAATCAACTTGATTATTAGTAGCTATAGTAGGTACTTGAATTTTATCAAAAGGATTCTGTAAACTAGTTGATGGTTTTATAAATAATATTGGAAATTTTGGTATAGGTTGCGATGTTTCTTTTGCATGTTCTTTATAATTCAACCCAATACATCGAATTATCGGAATTTTTGATGGTGCTAATGGTGTCAATAACTAAATTGTGCAAAAAGGGATTAAATCTTTTAATTACAAAGTAAAAGAAATTTTATTTAAAAAAAAAAAACAAGAAATCACCTTCTTGACTTTGATTATTTTATCTGTAATATTTATTCTTTCTTCAGTAAGGACGTCTCCTTGAATTATGTTTGCTTTTAATTCTGAAATAGGTGGTAATGATCCATTCAAATCAACAATAGGTTGACCAGAGTATACTTTATCATCTTCACCTACAAAACTATCATATAATTTGATTAATTAAATAAAATATTTTAAAATCAAAATGATTGATTTAACGTCATTACCGAATTAATCGAGACCATTCGGTCTACAATAAAAAAAAAAAATAAAAAAAAATGAATTCCGTTTTTCAAAAAATTTTTCATTAATAAAGAAAAAAAAATTTTAAAACCTGAAAAACCATCCTTGAAGAAAATTTTCGATTAGATAAAATGTTTGGTCGTAAACCGCCGCATTTAATAGGCAAAAAATTAAATAATCTTGGCTTAGTTAAATTGAAGGAATACATAAAAAAAAATTGTGGGAAAAAATTTTGAAAATCATTGAAAAGACGAGTTATAAATCGCAGTCTGATCATGTGACCGATCTCATTTACCAATGGTTGTATATTAAATTAGATTTGAGCGGAATGTTTAAACTGTTAAATAAATTACTAGGAAATGCCATTGTCACATGTGACCGTAAAAATTTCACATTGCGTAGACTTATATTGTCTTTTCGGTTCGCTCAGGACAAATAAATAATTTTATACACGAAATAAAAATGTAGTAAAAAAAAAAAAGAATAATTACAAAAAAAATAAAGGCTGATATCGTAATTAATGTGAAATGATATTTTTATAGTAAAATTTTTTATAATATTACGCTCGATTAGTACGTTTAAAAGATAAAAAATAGCGTAAAGTGCTTGTCAAGCCTTATTTTAATGAATTAGTATTACTTGCGCTTGAAGAAAAATATCGATTTAAAATTTGTTCTAAAAATCGCTAAAACGATCGAATTCTACTTTTTTTAAAATAAAACGTATGTATGATAATTATTTTTTTTTTAAAAAAAAAAATTACATACCAATTCCAAAAAACCGAGTTTCATAAAAATACACGAAGTAATCCAAAAAAAAAAATGCGAATGCAAGGTTGAATCTTATTCTGAAAGAGAGGTAAAAATAAATCTCTCATGGAAATTAATAAATTTCATATGGAATGCTTTTGAAAAATTTCATCAAGTAATGCCTCAACTTCCAAACATCATAAAATGTTTGACCATTCAAATTAATAAATCGGTTTACCAATTCACGTCAAAGAAAAAAAGTCGTAAAAGTTTGAACTCACGCAGCAAGGCATGTAAAAAACATTTCTTTATTCGTCTTATAATTTTGGTTACATAAAAAATGATAATAATAGATCAAGAAGGAAAAAAAAAAGCACACCCAATTAATCGGCATTCTGATAGTAAAAAGATAATCTAGTGCATAAGAAGGAAAGGAATAAGACAGATAAAGTGATAAGGACAACTTTTGGTTTATTGGTATCAGGTAATATAATGTATTTTTGAGACGGAGGGGTCGCAACCGAATGAGTATCTAAGTAAACAAAATAACAGTAGATAGGGAAAGTGATACAATAGGTAAAGGAAAGTACGAGATACGAAGAAGATCTAGTATACAAAATTGTTGCATAAACATTTCCTAAAATGTGAGTGTAAGAAGCCAACACCAACAATAGAACGAAATTAGGAGTGAAACGTGTAACGGAACCAAAAGTATATTCTTTAACACCGTTGTGTTCTCTTGGACTTTCTACATCAAAAAGACGCTGATGAGTTTCGTCCCCATAACCATTACGCGTGGCAAAATATATGCGCGTAAATGTAATCGCCAACCCAAAATCCTGACAAAGACCTTGCATCTTAAACCAAACGGTGTCATAAGGCCAATCTAAAAAGATACTAAAACCTAAGGCGGATACAAAGTAAAGAATCATCCAAGCTAAAAATTTGTTCGAAACGATTTTTCCTCCTTGATGTAAAGCAATTAAGAGAACAACTTCCAAACCATTATGAAACACTCCAACCGTAACCCAAAGTTTACCAACATCAAATGCGAGGTATGCAATTCCTGTTATGCATGTAACTAATGAGTATGCGGCTAATATTTGATTAAAGTAAATGGAGGTAGTTTTGTTGAAGGCACTATCAACCAAATATGTTACCAACTCTTCGTTAGTTTTCGTATCAAACAATGTCCACTTATATGCAAAATATCCACCGACTGCCATTAATATTACTGAGGCTAAGATTGTTGCATCTTGATCTTCGCCATAATGCCCTGGAAAAGGAGGATGCCAAACAGGATATCCGGTACGAGTATTATTGTCTTGTGGTATATCGACGTCCATTTTTACACTCGCAAAACTTAAAAACAATATTACAAGTGAAACGGAGACTGCTATAATAGCAATGATAGTTCCGACCTTACTCATTTTTTTTTTTTATTACTTTTTATGTTTGCACTTTTAATTTTCGTGAGGGAGAGCGAAAAAAAAAAAAAAAAAATTCCCTTACATATTTCACAATTCGAGTGTTCTTATAGAGAAAATGATTCCGAATGCCATCGTCGATCATTTTAATCTTTTATTTTAACTTTTAATACTTTATTGTAGATTTAACAAATTGGGAATAGATTTTTTTTGTTTACAGATTAGATGTTAATTCATAAACAAAAAGGTCATGTATTGATTACCCGTAAAGGAAATTCATAATAACTACGCCCACTTTCCGTAATTAATCTTTTCAATGGTCGTTCGTTCCGGAGCAAAAAAAATTTCGGCCGGCTATTGTCTTAATTTAGTAATTAACATTTTACAAAACCTGATGTAACACAAAAAGACTTTTCGATATCATTGATCACTTATGTAATTATCTTAATGGTGTTAAAGTTTTTAACGCAAGAAAATCAGTGTAACCATATAAAATATGTACTACATTTGGGCGTTATTTTTTTAATCTATTCCATTAGAATAATAATAATAATATAAAAAAAAAAAAAAAAAAATGGTTGAATAATTAAACTGAAAATGAAATTTGTTATTAAACCAATTAAAATATGTTTTTTGCGGGAGAAACTAGTTTCTATTTGGTTTTCCAAATTAGGATATTTCTACCACGGAGC